TATATATATATATAGATTTTTATACAGATAATACTTACTTCTTTCCCTTATACCCTACTAACCTAATCCATATAGAGATATATATGATACATTCCCATTTTCCCAACTAAGCCCCAATATGGTTTGGGGGGGTCGGGCTTTCAGGCTCAGGGTTTGTCATCCTAAACCCTAAGCCCAAAGCCGGGTTTGTCATCTGTAGGGTTCAGGGGCTATGGCTTGATATGCTCCAGCTTTACAGGTGGGCTTCAGGATTCCTATTTGGTTTGGGACTATAGGGATACTATAGGGTAATATAGGGACATAATATAGGGATCATGGAAAAGAGAATGGAAACTACAATTCAGGATTTGGGGATTAGGTGGTTTCCTGAAAGTAAGCCTGTTACCAGCTTGTCAGGGACATAATCCCAGCTGAAGTTGGCCCACACACTTCTTGTGGTTCTACAGGCCCTGATCTTAAGAAATGCCCAAAATCCCGAAGAAACGCTTGACGCAAAACGTTCAGACTGTTTGGATATTGCGGAGTTTTAGTACCCAAAATGAGGACCCTATAGCTAGCATGTGACCCTATCAGTCCTAATTTCAAGGGTTGTGGCTAGCAAATTGCTCTCATTGTTGGAGACCCCACAGCAAGGGCCCGGCAACTCCCTTGATGTCGAGACCGCGGGCTGCAACATCTGTTGCCACCAAGACCTTCGATCGAAGGGATACATTGTTAGTCGGTTTTCAGCCACTTACTACTTCCTCTCTTTTCCCTCGATTACAGCATGAGTCCTTCTACTCCTCCTCCACACTCCCAGCATGCTGATTTATCCTCATCATCATTCAGCCCCTATATAACCGCTATATACCTTCTATTTATCCCCTATATAAGCCCTACGTAGCCCCTATATTCCCCCTATATAACACCTATAGCCCCTTGGCAGCCCTGAACCCTAAACCCCTAAAAAACCCCAAACAACCCCCTAGCAACACAGGACCTTGTAGCGGCCAGACTTAAGGCCGTGGAGGGCATCCTCCCGCTGGCGCTGATCCTGCCATCTTGGAGAACTTTTTTTGAATCAGGGCTTCTGAATAACAATATTTCCACTAATATTACTTACATTATTACTAGTATATCCATTATTGGCACTATTTCCATTATCAATATTAGCTTCATGATACTATTGTTTGCATCACTGTTCTTATGAATATTACTATTATTATCGCGGTTATTACTCTTCCGGCTAGTGCAATTATTCTTCTTAAAGCCACTCAGGCCCTTAATATTATTACGAGGAAACTAGACACCCCAATCTACTGTTTTCAGGGGCCCCTTGCTTTTGGAAACCCCGATTTGCTGGGGAAACCCTCAGGGCTTGAGGAGCCGCCTTCACCTCGAGCTCAGCACACGTGGTGTCTGAAGTCGGGGTCCCTTTAAAAGAGGATAGAGGGGTTTCTGAAGGATATATCGGGTTTCAGGTCTAGGTTTTTCCAAAGCTAAGGGTTGCTCCAAGCTAAGTAGCTGGGGAGACTGGGAGATGTAGGGATCATAATGGGATAGTATGGGTTCCGCAGAAGGAGTGCAGAATGATTGGTTGAGCCCCTCCGCACACTAGCCAAAGCTTAATCTCGTTTTCATGAACTGGTAGCTTCCCTAAATTGTTGGACCCCAACATAGAACCCAATATGTTATAATCCTTGTCATGGGGACCCTCGAGAAGGTATCCCTAACCCCGAGCTCTCACCATGCCGCGTACGACACCTTCAAGCTTGTTTGAGGGATCCTAAACCGTAAACCCTAATCGTATACCTTGGCTTCTGCCCCGACCTATTAGCAGTCTATAATAGGGGCAATATTAAGGGTTCTGTATAGCTATACTATTGATATTCTCCAGCTGTTAATGAGTGGGGGCAGTACCCACTACTCCCCTATCTAATCCCCAATACACGCCCCCCTTTAAGGAGTTTAGACTGCGCTTCATATAACGTAGTACCCGGAAGGAAGGAGTATTTTGGGGACTATGTTGGAATAAATGAGCCCTTGCATTGCGCCCGGGAAAAGCACTAGAACTAGAGGGCCATTCCCCTAAACCCTAATCCCTACCTAAATCCTAAACCCTATAGACCCTAAACCGTAAACTCTAAAACCCTAAACGTCCTTGTCTCCATGGATGGAGGTACATGGCAGGCCTCTGCAAAGCAGCTCAGAGTTTCTTTCAGATGTTCAGGGTTTAGTGGTTATGTAGGGGATATATAGGGGTAATGGAAAAGAAAGTGGAGGATTATATAGGGTTTAGGGCTCTGAATGTAGAGTGCCAGGAATCAGGGCTCAGGATTGAGGCAGGTTTGTTGATGCTCGTCGTTTGTAAGTACCACCATAGGAAGCTTTGTGCAATCCAAAACGTCCAACTCGCAAAGCTAAATGGCCTTTGCACAAGGAAAGGACGGGTCAGTGTTTCTACTCTATGGTTGATGACTGCGGATTATCCATTTCAATGCTGCAGCTCCTCAAAGCAGTGAATAATGCAGCAACACAGACGATCCTAACCCTGGCAGGTTCTGGAGCTTTGAGACCCTTCATCTACCCTCAACAACGTGTTGAAATCCTTGTCGCAGGCAGCGAAGAAAAAAGATTTGAAATGTAGGAACACTCACATCTGGTCTGGGCTACTACCTATTGCTGTCCCTTCATCAATTCACCAAATCAACCGCGATTGCATCATGCTGGTTCTGTTGTTGCTTATATAACATAACTATAGATTCTTCCGCCCCCCAAGAACCCCTCGGTCGCGGCCTTGCCGGTGCAGGTCATTGGAGAGATTCTCGCACATCCGCTTTGTGTTGCAGAAGACCAGGGCCTCTACACGCCATAGTGTCAGGGACTTCATTGACATTTGCATCCCTCAAAACCTAGGTCACTATGTGTATAGCCCGAAAACGCTGCAACCTCTATTCTCAACGTCAGAGTCTGGCAAAGGAACTCGACGTTTTAACAGGCCGCCAAATCTCCAATGCTGAAGGACAAGATGCAAAGCAATAGTCTAGGGTCTCGGTCTAGGGTTTCTTTGGATGTTCCACTAATTCTGGCTGCAGCGGCGGCTAATTTACCTGGTCACAGTAGGAATGATAGTAATGATACTACTAATAACAGCGATAATAGTAGTAATACTAATTATACTAGTGATAATATTCTCAATAACATTGTGTGGATGGATTGATTCACTTGGGGCAAATTTCAGGCCCTATGCGATACGAACCTTAAGGCTCAAATGGCCCTGACACACAACAGCTTACTTGACTTTGTCCTTGTCAGTAGATGCTGAGGTGTGGAGCCCTCAACTTAACGGGATCAGCCACATGAAGATTGGAAACAAAGCAGCCCAGACTTAGCATGAAGGCTTCCATCAAGCCTGAATATCTGCAAGCCTTAGACCTCCCCGCACAACTCTTTTCTTCATTGGGTATGTGTTAATGATTGCAGCAACTTGTTTCCCAACTGTAGAGTTTCTCAAAAGCGAGCCTCCGCTGCCGCAGAAAATGAAACACTCCTAGCTCATTCATAGGGATCTTTGAAAACCCTCACGTTCTGACAAATCCACAACTGCACCGCCGGCCTTGCCGCTGGCGCTGGGGTTTGTCAAGCCTGCCTCCCGAACGCGAAACGGGACGACAAATCTTCCTACTCACAAAAGAATGTAGGGCTGTATTATGGGCTATGGATGCCACAGGTGAGTCGTAGGGGTTCTTGTAAAGGATTCTCTAAGGGAATTCACAAAGGGGGAGTGGGGGAACCAAGGACAGTTACTGCAGTCTGATTGTTGCAACCCCCGACTCATGATGCATCATAGCAACAGCAGCCAACGCTTCACACCCTAAACCCTTAACAATAAACCCTAAATCCTAAACCCTAAACCCTAAATCCTAAACCCTAATCTGCTGCACCTCCCGAAGCGAGTTGACAATCTCCCGGTGCTTGTTGTAGGCATCCATGCACTTCACAATCTGGGTGATGTCCTGCTGCGGTTCAATGTTCAAAAGACCATGATAGGGTTTAGGGTTTAGGGTTAAATACTGGTTGTTAGAAGAGTACTCACCATAACGTAGACCATCTTCACAGGAAAACAACTTATCATAAGAATATCGCCCATAGCCACCGTCATTATACGGCTCATAAACATAGTATGTGTTCGGAAACCGGCCACGCCCCCAAATCATATGAACCCCAAACCCTCAATCAAGCCTTATGCCGAAACCCTCACTTTTCAAACCATGTCGATGGCTTTGCCAACCCACTCATGGACAAGGATTACGTTGGGTACATGGTCATTACAGCTACAGTTTGAGTAGACTCTTGGTGGCACACTGTTGCCTGAGAGCGAGTGGAGCAGTGAACATGGGGACTATCATGGGCATGACTGTTGAGCACCTAAACCCTAGAGCATACATGAACCCTGAACCCTAAATACTGTATAGTAGCTTCCATTCTCTTCTTCATTCCCTAAGCTCTAAACTTAAGCGGGAGAGCCCAGCATATCGTGCTCTGGGGCCTGGTTGCCCTTCAGCACTTCACGGTTCCCGATCATGACCTTGTAGGGCCTGGCAATTAAGCACGGTTTAGGGTTTTGGGTTCGGGCTTAAAAGTCTATCGTTCGGGCTTAGGGACTTACCCTGGCAATTTAAGAATAATGATGGTTTGGGTTCGCGGGTTAAGGGGTATAGCGTGTATCAAGCTTGAGCGTTTGTGGGCTTCAAGGCTGTTAGTCTGTAAGGCTTCGGGTTAGGGGTTTCCGGGGTTTTGGGTTTGAGGACGTTGAGGGGTCGGGCGTGCCCTTCAAGGGATCCTAGAGATGTTAGGGGTTGTCAACATAGTGGGTTCCTTCTTTGGCCTTGCAATTGCCAGGCGTCTCTTTTCTGCACAACAAAATCCCCTGAGTTTGTGAAGCACCTGTTTGGAGATCATGCTGCTAGTAGATCAGCTCTCTAGCGTAGACGGCCAGCCCTTGAAAGCTGGCAAGAGTCGTGGGTACAGGCTTGTGCTGTTTCTCTAAAAACAGGAATTGGCACGGCTTGCAGGGATATATGGCGATAACCAAGGGATTCTGGAGTTCGTTCTCAGAGTTGTAGGGAATAATTTCATGGGTATGTTTGGCAGGCCGTTTTCCGACAGTCTTCGCAAGGCATCAGTTCTGTAGGTTGGCATCCGTTCTTTTCAGCTAAGCCGCATGGAGTTTCTTGAAATGGTTTCTGTCCCTTTTGGTGTTGAAGGTTTTTAGTTGAAGACAGTGTGACTGTACGGGATCCGTAACTTGCGCGGGGGCGATGAGCTCAAGAAATTCCCGCCCAAGCCAGGTTTCAGGACTGGCTTGGGGGTTCTGGCCTACTCAAGCTGAGGGGGGGGTCTTGCCTGTTTCTCCCAGGCCTACCCTAGGCCTAGTCTAGGCTGCTCGGGGCTCAAGGGGAGACCCCGTCTCCTGGGGCGGAAGGAAAGGCTCTGTAAGACTGTAATCTTCTGGCAGTTCTGGAGACATTTTGTATCACGTCACGAACTACCACGTCATTTATGCACACCAGAAGCCCACTAAAATTCTTGAGTTTCTGCTGTTCTTCTAAATTCTAGAAGCCCCAACCTTTTAACCCTCAACCTTCTGGCAAAGGAGGTGTGACAAGTGCCTGTTCAGGATCTCACTCGCTAGCTTCCTCACCTTGGCAAGACTGGTGGTCTCCTCTTTGGGGTCTCGGTATTTTGCAGGGATGCATACGGATCTCTATTGTCAGAAGGCAAGATTCTATGAGGCTATCTGAAATGCAGCCTTGTAGAGTCGTCGGCTGGGAGATCGAATGCTGTGAAGTTCTATGCTGAGATTGTCGCCGGCAGACAGGTGTGCAAGATCACAGAATGCATTGCTACCATTCCAGTGGTATCTGCTTTTTGGTTTTCTGTGCAGCAATGGAGAGAAGATGGGAAACTACTATAATGGGTTATACAGGGACTAATATCAGGATCCATTCCTTCATTTCTAGCCATACATGTTCTGTTACTGCCACCAGATGAGTATTGTTTTTTGGTGGTTGAAGCTAGTAAGATAATATTCCTTATATAAGATATTATACCCAAAAGGAGGATATACTCTTACTCTATAGTGGGTACCATAGTATCCCCAAACAAAATACTACTCAGATGCAGCAGACTCAGGCTTTTCGTGCATGTGCTGGCTTCCCGCTAACTCTGATGAGCACCTAAAAAGCTGAATTGGGGGACCGTGGTATCCCCTGACCCAGTGACCTGAGCCCTAAACCCAGACTGGTAGTATCCCTGACCACAGCAAGTGTGGAATGTAGCAGCTTCCCTAAATAGGAGGTCCCAAATATGCTATAATTTTTACGATAGGAACCCCCCAAAAAGTACCCTTCATTTTTGGGAACCCCTATGTTTTTGTATGTATATACCTATATAAACCTATATAACCTATATAACCCCTATAACCTCCTTTCAAGGTAGCTCTGTATCCTATTCTGACGGAACCTTCAGGCTCAGACGTCCTTTGGCCAGGTTGCCGTGAAGAAGAGGGTGTGCCGCTTGCGTGGAAGCTGTCGCAGAGGGCGAGTTTTGGGTTTACTTGTAGCCCCCAGCAGCTACAGTCTTATGGGTTATACGGCTATACCTTCCCAGTTAGGGGGTGATGACTACCAAACTGTTACAGGTAGAGCCGGAAAGCATTAGGATTAAAACTTGGGGTTGAGGGCACGGATCTCAAAAGACCCTGACGCGATGCACACTTTCTGCAAAAAAATCGCTTGAAATCCTACCCCCTAAACCATCTGTTTTGAAAGGTGGATGAAAAACGATCCCTCAGATTCCTGGGCATGCCTGCTCTGCCCTGGAGCTCCTTCCCTTACTGGTTCTTTAGTAGGGAATGAGGGAATATAATCCCTATATAATCTCTAGTATATTCCTTCATTCCGAATATATTACCCTGATATGGTATGTGATCCCTATATAACCCTATGTTATCCCCTTGTATTCCCACCAAGCACCAGTAAGTTCGGTGCAGCCTTCAGCTTTTTCCGCTACTGGTGCACTCACGGCAATGGAAAACATGCTACTGTGGGCGGAGGAACCTTGCGCCAGCTTATCTTACTGCGGCTCAGTAAGGATTACGGGAATTTATTCTAAAAGGGATTGTATAGGGATTCTATTCCTTTTTTCCCTAAGCACCGGCAAGTTATATAGGGGTTTTCCAAAATATTGGGAGTACCTTCTTGGAAGGCTGAGGTCTCCTTGTGGAAAATGCGATAGTCCCAGCAAAAGTGGCAATTTCAGTGCTTCGGGGAGACTAAGTGGGGCAAGATTTCCTCGATCCACCATAGTAATCCTTGTTCTCATAACTATGACTTCGCTGATCTCTACTATACGAAAGACGTAAGTCATCGTTGCTGGTATGTCCCCCTGCGCTCAAAGCTGACAATCTTACTGCTTACCACATTCCGAAGACCTTTCTTGCTGTCCTATTGTGTACTACGTTACGGATTTCTTCAGATGAGGATCCCCTGGGCCCTGTGCATATACCCCCAAAATTAAAGGACGCTTGTTGCAGGGACACCTATACCCTTAACCCTCAACCCTGAAAGATGTTGCGCCTTGGCCAAGATCTTCCTAATCTGGGGCTCGAAGCCCATGTCTAACATGCGATCGGCCTTTCGCAAAGCTATGTGGACCCCCTCAAAATGAGGCTTGCCTCTGGGGGTGTTAGTGGGGGCAGAAGGATGTTGGGTTTACGGCTGGGTTCTGCAGGCAGGACTGCCCTTAGAAAGTCAGGTGAGGTTTGGTCGGAAATGGCAGGCCTCCGTCCTTCGGATTGCAACCTTGGGTTGTGCAGAGTCCATGCAAGCTAATATTGAACCCATTCATAATGTCTCTTCATGCTGTTTCTGACTACGAGGCCCAGACCTGCCCACAGGGTTTATAGGGTTTAGGGGAATAAAACGAGCCATTCCATCATCATCAGGACCCAAAAAAAACATCCGCAGCTTTGAGAAATCCACAGAAAAGGAGGCTCTTGGGAGACACGGCCTTTTTGTAAAGCCAGTGTCTCTTGCAACAATATGGATCCGCTTTGGGGGTCAATGGGCTCTAGGGACTATCTGCGGGATATATAGGGTTAAGGGATTCTCTGACCCCAATAGCGGAGAAATCAAAAGGACAGGAACATGGAAAAGGAAATGGACGCAAGGGATTTCATGGTGGTTTATAAGGCTCAGGGGTTGGCAAAACCTTGGGAGTACCTCTTTGGCCGTCCCCATCATAAGGATAGTAGTATATTGGGATCTGATATTGGGGCCCCCCCTTACGTGGACTTTCTTTCAAAAAGTAACCCTTCGCGCGGTGGGAAAGCGGGTCATAATTGGACCGACCCTAAGCCCTAAACCCTAATGCAATCCTAGGTCATGCTCGAAGTTTCTACGTGGATGTCTGGCCGAGAACTCCATTTGAAGGGGACCCCTATAACTTTCCTTCTAGCTCCCTTATGTCCTAGCATTCCTCGGAACCTGCCGTTTCGAGAAACCCGACAGGCAAGTAACACTGTGTATGGCCTCATCCAGGACAAGCTTCAACACTCCGTCCAGGCGGACCTCCACAGCTTGAGCTGAGGAAGACAGACTGTTCCTTGGGCTTGAACGTGATAACTAGCGCACCAGAACTCACAAACGCTTCCATTGCACTGGGGCATGAAAATAGATGAGCTGTAAGAACCTGGTGGGGGTGTGTGGGTTGGCATGCCATAGGTACGGTGACGACTGATATGTGAGTAGTACACCAGCTGTTCATTAGTCAAAATGATACAAATAGGTTGCTGTTCTGGAACTTCATCTATGCTACCATTTTGTGGGGTATATAATACACAATGGGCTTCCTTATTACAATAACTCAAAAGTTCCTTAACAGCAACCCAGACCATGGCCGTAAGTACTTCCGCAGCCAGAAACACTGCTAGTGTTTTTCTAGTGTCAGTCACGGCGTAATTTTATATCCGAGTTGCAGGGCTTCCTGGGCCCGACAAGGAAACCTTTCAACGGAACTAGGCTTATGTATACCTCAAAGGGTCAAAGGCTATCCAATCAGTTGCTAGGATGCCAACTGCCAACTGCCATATTATGATGACAAGCACTGACCTGAGTCTTTCAAAGTGCGACATAAGTTTTGAGTACTGCCTATGGCCCGTGTTGGCTTCCGCATCCAGGCACAGCTTGCACTCGCGCAGCTAATGCACTGAAATCTGACACCCCAAATCCAACAGTGTCAGGCCAGATGGCGTGCAGGAAGGATCGTTCTTAGACTCAGGCATATGGGAGGACCCTGACTTTGAGAGTTCTGCAAATGACCAATAGCCCCACGAGCAAAATCACGGACAACAATTCCAATATGGTGAACCCACGGCTGCCCAATAAAGGCCAACATCTCAACTTCATTCATCGTAAAAGGATCCCAGAATGCCCTCTGTAAGAAACTTCTGTTTCAGACCTTCACCTACAGCCCTCAACCCAAACTCAAGTGATAGAATGTAGCCACTGGAACGCAATCTACATTCAATTCTATCAACTTGCTGTGGACGTTTGAGCCAACTCCAAAATATAGGGTAAGTGCAGAAGTGTCAAATTCGCAGTGTACTCAAAGGGGGCACCACGGAAAAACCGAAACCACATCATACTTCAAGCGTTCCCGATGCAACTTGCGCTCTTCAAATGGTTCCTTGCCTGCCCACCCTCCAGGAAGTCGTTGAGACGACCGGGGCAGGCCACGATGGTACTGGAATCAAGGCTCCCAAAGAGGTACCCTTACTGCTGCTTTTTACAGAGTTTCTGGGACCTTCGTACATGGGTGATTCTCAAAATCATGAACCTTTTGGGGGGGCATCCCTATTGGACGTAGGCAACGGCCCTCATTTTGAGAAATACCGCTTCTCAATTCATGGTAGTGTGTTCGGGACGTATGAGATGGGAGGTTCTGCGAACTGCTGCAGGTTACCTTACCCAAGCTAACATCCATGGACCCCCAGTTCAGGCCCCTCATGAAAGGATAATAACATGTAAAGGTACTCTTTTCAGGATCCATGCTTGTTTTGATGAAGTTACCCGTCTGGCATCCTGGATGGACGGCAGCGAGGCCCCTCAAGCGAAATTGTCACAATATACAAGCTGTCACAAGACTTCTTACGAGCACTTGAAAATCTGATGCCTTCTGGGCGCCTTGCAATGTAGTGGTGGTTCCTTTTAGTGGTTCCCTCTGTAGACAATGCGTGGTTATAAAATCTGGCGTCACCCCTCAACCAGCCCATACAGATGCACACGACACATTGTAAGGAAATGAAGGGAGTCTCAAGAATTCGTCAGCGTTTTCCATCTGACCTGCGGATTTAATGCGAGGTCTGTCTCTACATGTCTCACACACACACACACCCTCTCTCTCTCTCTCTCTCTCTGTCTCTTTCTCTCCTTCTTCTTTTTCTTCTCTGGCATTCGGTCTTCTTTT